GGTTAAAATGCCAGCCTGGAGGCTGGAGGGCAGCTCAGTGGATAGATAACATGCTTAGCATGCACAAGACCCTGTTCCTCCTAACAACACAAAAGGAGAAGAGAGGAGGAAAACTGGCCTCCACGGAGCTAGGAAAGGAGTAACTGATGAGGCTTTAAATGACAATAACCGATACACTGCAGAATCACATTAAATGCAGTTCATACTAAAGTGACTGAGTCCAAACAATTCCTCCACATTTGAGCCTAAGTCCTAGGGGTCAGCACAGTTCACAACACTGCCCACCGAAGGCAAGGCAACACAGATCATCTGAGGCTGAATTAAAGAGAAATCAAAATCAAAAGCGGGAGATCTGAGAAGCGTGGGGTCCAGTGATAAGCTAGGAGTGGGAAATGGAATTCAATAAGACAGAACTATATAGCTAGCTTGGTTGAACACTTAAATCAGTCTTTCTCCCCTATTCATACAAACCCTTGCCAGTAACTGGCTGGAGAGATGGCTCAGTGGTTATAAGCACTGGCTACCAGAAGACCTGGGTTTTGTTCCCAGGACCAACATGGTGGCTCATAACCATCTGCAACTCCAGTTTCAGAGGATAAGATGCCCCCTTCTAGCCTCCGAAGGCACCAAGCACATTGTGTCCTACAGATAGATACATTCGGACAAAAAAACCCATACACATAAAAATAAATAAATCTAAACACACACACACACACACACACACACACACACACACACTTTTGTCAGCAACTTTTGTTCTGGGTGGTTTTGTCTGTCTATGCTGTTCTTCAGACAGGGCTTCATTTCACTCTGCAGGCCAGGCTGGCCTCAAACTCGGTGGGAGTTATTAATTATATTTAAATGTTTCTTATTAAGACTGGTAACATTCAGCTAACTATTCAGTTAAGTGGAAGCTAAAAGCATCTTGGTAGCCCACTCCTGAGGTACCAGCACTGGAGAGGCTCAGGCATAAGGATCAAGAGTTCAAGGCCATCTGACTGTCTTGAAGAAAGGAAAGCAGAAAAAAAGCAGGGAGGGAAGGAAGAAGAGGAATGAGCTATTACAACTAAGAAAGATTTCTCACTGGTCAAAAGTCAAGAAAGTCATCTTTTCATTCCATGGAGTTTTGTTTTTACCCTGGCTCATTCAAATACAATTAATGATGAATGGCTATTAATACTTTTTAAAAGGCCTTATTTATTTTTGTTATATTTACTGGAATAATCTTGTCCTATATAGTGCATTAAATTGTTGGTTTCTTAGAAGAACTTACCATCTTTAGCTACAAGTTTTGTTACATGTTTACATGCCGATTATAAACTATGTATCTATCACCATGCCTACAACACAGTAAGCAACCCATAAAATGTAGCCATTAAACTCATTCCTCTGCAAGTCCAATGACGAAATGAACCGTCTCTTCTGCACTCTATCTCAAGAACCTAGCCCTGCTTGGGGGTATGCAATAAATACTGATGACTAAGCGGCTACAGATGATCCAGAAGAGATTCTCAATTCTCACTCCCAATGTACGGTGCTCAAGTGTGCCCAGCAAGGGGCTGGAAAGACCCTTCCCGAGGGAAGGCGCTGAAGTTCCTGTTTGTATTTCCTTAAATTCACCACAGAGATTTCCCCCTATGTCCCAAACCACAAAATCAATGCTTTGCAACAATGTGGTCTTAAACAATTTTGCTTCATTTCCCTCTACAGACAAAGAACAAAGTTCCTTAAAACTTGAAGACTTAGTTTAGTTCCCTTTACTCTTTTTAAAAGAAAGGTACCTGTATAACCATATCAGCTCTCAAATTTCTAGTCTGGTTCTCATTGATCCTGGATTCACAACTGGCTGGTCACTACATAGGTTGCTACTTGACTTTTTGTTTTGTGTTGTTGCTGTTCACTGCTGAGTGCAAATTAAAATAAAAACAGGCTTGAACTTTAAAAAAATAAATAAATAAATAAAGCTACACATCAAAGTGTGCCATGACCCATTCAGAGATACCTTTTTGAAGAGACCTCAGATCCAGCTCAATAAGCCATACAAAAAATGCTGTGAGGCCTAACCCTCACTGATGTGTTATCAACTAAACTGCCTTCTCTCTCAAAGCTTTAGTCTAAACCCCCTCAATTACTTGGATTCAAATGGACTTCATTATTTTCTAACATCAAATGGTCTCAGAGGATAAGGGTGGAGGAAAGGGAACACAAGGCCCAAAGCAGGCTAAAAAAGAAATTCAAGAAGCCAGGCATGGTGGTGCACACCTCTAATCTCAGCACTTGGGAGGCAGAGCCAGGTGGATTTCTATGAGTCCAACGCCAGCCTGGTCTACAGAGTGAGTTCCAGGACAGCCAAGGATCGAAAGACAAAAAAGAAAAGAAAAAAAAGAAAAGAAAAGAAATTCAAAAGGTGTTTTCAGTTGCACCTAAAAAGCTGCTAGCTGAAAACACAACTTTGGGCCTGGAGAAATGACTCCGTGTTCAGTGCTCCTGTAGAGGACCCAGGTTCAATCCTTAGCACCCACACGGCAGTTCATAACTGTCTGTAATTCCAGTTCCAGGGGCTCCATGGCACCAGGCATTCATGTAGTACACACACATATGCATGCAAGCAAAATACCCATACACATAAAATAAAATGAGTCTTTAAAAAAAAAAAGAAAAAGAAAATACAACTTCAAATAACTAGAGAGAGGTATTTGCTCCGCCATCATGCACAATTTTAGTTATCTTTTCCTCCATCCGTAGGTTATAGGCTACATCTTAAATCTCTGGTAGAAACTCTGCCTCTCTGAAAAGACATGCAAGGAACTGAATAGTGGTCGTCACTGAAGGAAGAGAAAACATGGCTGGGGAACAGAAACAGGCGACTTTTTGCTATATTACCTTTTTAAATTTTATACACAACGAATTGCTTTGTGTTGTTTGTGTGTTGCTGGGGACGGAATGCAGGGCCTCCCATATGCAAGGCCAGGGCTGTACCATGAGTTCCATCACTGGACCAGCATCACCTCCTTTTTAGATGCTGTGTGGTAAGTCCTTTCAAACTGTGAGGTTGTGCTCAATTCTACTTCACAGGAGAGAACAGCACTGGAGGAAGTGGTGTTGGTGAGCTTCCCTGCAAACCGGCTCTCCGGCCAGGGCAGCAGTGTCCATAGAAACCTTGCAAGTTCCCCACCCGGATGCCTTACAGTGGAGCTCCTCTGTTGCATCATCATTCCCTGAGCATTCAAATGGAAACAAAAGCCTGATACTGTAACCATTAGGAATGAAAACTGGAGGTATGTTAATGAGCTATTAAATATTAGAGAAATAATGACTATAACAAACCAATCACAAATACCCACAAGAGAGGCGTATTACTGCCCTTTCCTTGAAAATGCAATCTGCCATACTGTAAACAGGGCAGCAAGATGATAAGGCTGGTGCCATCTGCAACATAACTTAAGCAGCTTGCACCAGCAAATGTAACAGGATCTGTTGCAGGACACGATTGCACAATCTCAATTACCCAGAAGATTCTACCAAACAGGAAATTCATGGTGTGACTCTAAGTAACACAGGACTCATACTTAAAGATTAACACATCCAGAAGCCTGGAATTTGTTCTGAAACAAAACAAACCATTTCAGAGACTCTTTCGAAAGCACGAATGCATATAAATTACTAAAACATAGAAAGAGCTAATCTGTTGAACCTGATGTTTACCTTCAGCTCCGGAGCTCAAAGATGATACTATGTCCAAAATCTACTGTATGAATCCTTGAACGTTCCTAAAACACTTCTGGAGTGGAAATTTTATGGTATGGATTTAATTGGAAACCCACTCCTAGGGCCTTGCAGGGTGGGAAAAGCCTTTATTCTCAGCGATGGCAGATGAGATCTCTGTGAGTTCCAGGCCAGGAGCGTGAGGTTCAGGCCAGCCAGAGATATACATAGTCTCAAACGAACAACAACAAAATAAAAAACCACGGTGTGAATGAAAGCTGAAAACATCGTTTCCTCTACTATATGTGTCCCAGGTTCTCACGAAAACCACCATGTACCTCGATCCTTAAAAGCTGATAAATCTCCCCTGCAAATCTTCGAAGGGACTTAAAAAAGAAAAACATCCCAAGGAATTATTTCAATTAAAAACCATCTACACCTTCAAGCACTAGTCCTATTTTTTTTTGATCTTGAGAAAGCCCAGTGGGTCAGAACCCCTCCGTCTCCGCATGGAGACTGTTTTGTCCATCAATACAGAAATGAGCAGTGGTAGTTAACTAAGCGGCGAGCTGTAGCGTCCTTGCAGGCGCGGCCACCCTCCCTCCCCGAAAAGGAAATACGCTTTCAAACGAATCGGAAACACACCACGCAAGCTGGCACCGCACTCCCCGAGATAAAGTCGGTATTTTAAGCTCTTCGGGGTGCTGCTAATTCATGTGCGAATTCCAAAAGAACGTTTCCTAAACCAGGATTTATTGATGGAGACTTGCAAAAAAAAAAAAGAAAAGAAAAGAAAGAAAAAAAATTCCGGGAAAGGAGCGCTTTTTCTTGCAAGTTTCGTTCAGGTGACCGCAGTCCTAGGGTCAGGCTCTGCCCTACTGCTCCTCGCAGAAGCTCCGCCCGGCTGGCTCGTCTGCACTCCAGGGCAGGGCTCCTGCGTCCAAAGTGGCCGCACCCGGGGACAGGGTCCTCAGGCTGCACGGCTGCAGAGGGACCCCGGGAGCCACCATCCTCTAAGCGGAGAAGAGTGCAGAGTGGAACACCACCGCACGGCGCCCACGGCGCACCCGCACATGCTTCACCGCGTACCTGCGCGTGCAGAGAGGGTGAGGGGTGCAGGACACGCGCCGCTCCTACTGCACCCCCCTGCACCCCCCCACGACGCCCGGAGGAGAATTCCTGCCGCTGGGCGCATCGCTGAGCTGTGGGGACAGGCCTGGCCGTCAGGCATGCAGGGGCCACCCTGCTGGCTCCACCGCGTCGCGTCCCCCCACCCGAGGCCCGGCGACACTCACCACACCGAGCCATAGGCGCCCGAGCCCACGGGGGACAGGTTCTGGTACCGCTCGGGCACCTCCCAGATGGTCTTGTTCAGCTCCTGCCGGTAGAACGTGGGCCTCTCCTGAGACATCTTCCAGCGGCGGCCGCGGGGCGAGGAGGTGGCCGAGCGGGGGCCCCTGCCTGCAGCCGCACGCTCTCTCCTCTGCGCCCGCCC